TTTTTTGGTACCAGGGATCGAACTCAGGACCTTGTGCTTGCAAGGCATGTGCCAGAACCACTGAATTAAATCCCTGGCCCCCATCGCAGCCCAATTTTAAACCCAGATGCTCAATTATGCCAACAAAATACACTCTGTGTAAGACACTGATAGCATTACCTGAACCACTGGAGTGAAAAGAAGCCTGCAACTTATCAAGTCCTGGCGTATTCCTCTTTGAATAGTAAGTTCCAATTTTTCTTTTTCTTTCTTTCTTTCTTTCTCTCTCCTTTTTTTTTTTGTTCCGGGAATTGAACTCAGGACCCTGCGCTTGTGAGGCAGGCGCAGTGCCACTGAGCTAAATCCCTGGCCCCCCATTTTTCTTTCTGATAAAAGGCATTTTATTTTGTGTATTAATACTTCTTGCCTTCATTTTTCATTGTAGGTAAGATTAGCTTTCAAGTTTAAATCTTTCCTCACATAAAGTATTCTTTTTTTTTTTTTGGTACCGGGGATCGAACTCGGGTTCTTGAGCTTGCAAGGCAAGCGGCGGAACCACTGAGCTAAATCCCCAGCCCAAAGTATTCATTTTTAAAAAGCTTCAACTATCGTGGCTTTCCTCCTGATAGCCTACCATACGTCCTCCAGGGTGCACTTTTATCTTGCTTTTCCCCTTTTTACTCAGCCCAAGCTTGCTCTGTAGAGCCAGATTCTCCCTCACTCTTCACTTTTTCTTTTTCAAATAAATTCTGTCATCTATTTTTTGCTCATTGCATTCAATTCTTTTAGAGATGGGAAGAACCTGGAAACCAACTCCAGAAAGAGATGCAAGTACCAGAAAATCTGGTAACATTTATCTTGTAAGCCACTTTTAGAGACTACCGGTAACATTATTTGGCATACTCATCCAGGAGGACACCAGGCCCCAAGCCAAGCCAATAGGAAACCTCTTGGACCTCACTACCATGCAGATTTCACTTCACCATTAGGTCATATTCTTGACGAGTGGGAAAGGTTTGATCCTGACAATCTAAAATAGCTTATCTTGGGGCTGGGGATTTAGCTCAGTGGTTTCGCCGCCTGCTGCGAAAGCACAAGGACCTGAGTTCGATCCCCGGTACCAAAAAATAAATAAATAAATAAATAAATAAAAAGATAAAATAGCTTATCTACTATTGCAACATGGTTTAATTTTAGTACAAACAGGGAAGTGACAAGAGGAGGTACAGGATGGTACTTTAAACTATGAGACTGTTTTAGTTTCATTTCTCATTGCTGAGACAAAATACTCAACACCCAGAGTTAAAGGAGGAAAGGTTTATTTGGCTCACAGTTTGTAAAGGTTTCAGTCCATAGTTGACTCCAAGTCAGGTTGGCAAAGCAGAGGAGCATCATAGAGGAGAAACAGGCAAAGGAAAGGCAGACAGAAGGCAAAGCAAGGCAGGCAGAAGGCAGCAAGCAGCAAGTCCAAGCAAACTTAGCAGCTTTTTCTGCCCCTTTTATATTTTATCTAAGCTACTGGGCTTAGGGCAGGTACCAAACCAATCAGTGGACTGATTTAGTAATCATACACCCTTAAACCCAGCATCACACACTCTAGATCCAGCCACTTCTGAAAATGGCCCCACCTCTGACCACATGAAGGCTTTGGGGGACATCTAGACACAAGCCATGACAGTGACTATTCTTCAGTTACAGCATTTCTGCTTAAGACATACAATGTGGAATGAAATGCCTTTATGTTCAGGCTCTTGTGACTATCAAAGGGAGTATTCAGAAACTATAATGTTTAGAGTGGCCCCCAAGGAGAAAGATATTCTGAATGACATCGTGTTGAGACTGCCACTTAACTCTCGGGGATACGAGTCTCTCTGCCCTGTCTGATGAGACTGAGAGGTCTCCTTGACCTCCTCATTAAAATCCCCAGGCCAATAAATCAGGTCTATTCCATCCAAGTGACTCAGGAACTCCATTAGAACCTAATGTCCCAGGGGAACCCAGTGCTCCTCAGCTTCTTCACCATGCTCCTCAGACAGCCTTAAGTCCTACTGGGTACACACAGACAGCTCTAAGCCCTGCAAGTTGAACCTGAAGTGGTGCTTCTTACTATTCTAATTCACAACTTATCCTGTCCCTAAGAGAGGTCCCAGGGGGTGGACGGGCATACTCAAGTGCAGGTCCCTTTCTCAATAGCGGATGTCCAGGAGTGCAAAGAATGACTAGGCCAACTGTCAGAAGATCCTAGTAAGTTTGCAGATGGGTTTCAAACTTTGACCCTTGTTTCTGATTTATCACAGTGAGATGTTCAATTTATCTTGGCCACTTGGCTGTACCCCAGATGAAAGACAAAGAATCCTACAAGAGGCTAGGAACTATGCAGATGATCAATATGCTTTGAGAAGGAAACCACCCCAGAGAAGCTACTTTCCCTTCAACAGAATCAAAGTGGGACTATAATACTAGTCATGGACTAGATATGAAGAGCTGCTCTTACCATGGGGATGAAGAGGTGCATTAAAAAATCTGTTAACAATGATAAAGTGAGTGGGGTCACATAAGGCACAGAGAAAAATCCAGCTGTCTTGCATAACCATTAGTAGAAGGCTGTTGTAAATATACTAATAAGATCCATCTTCCAGGGAGGAAGCACTAATGGGACAACATTTCATCTGTCAGTCAGTCCCAGATATTCAGTGTAAGCTACAAAAACTTCAGATGGGCCCACAGACACCTATTGGTGGACATGGCCTTTTCTGTATTCAACAATCAGGACCAAAGGAGAGACAAAAGAAAAAGGCTAAGATTATAGCTGTCATAATTGGCAATGCTTTAAATTCACCCAAATCACTGAAGGGAAAAACCTGAGGACAACTGAGGTTCCTATTTCAAGTGCAACAGGATTGAACACTGGGACGAGATTGCACTGAGCCTCTGCCTAGGCCCTGCTCCACATGTGAGGCAGCTCATGTGCCTGACTCGTGGCACTGGAAGTTTGACTGCCCTGGCTAGGCCAGCCAGAACCCTCATTTCCTGCTCTGACTACTGAAGAGGCCCACACCAAGGGGAACCTGAAATGCCCCTGCCCACAGATGTCATCATCTCCTCCAAGGAACCCTGGGTAATTTTTGACATCATGGGTGAGCCAATTTGACTGGTTATTGATATGGGGCAGCTCATTCTGTTTTGATTTTCTTCTCTGGAAAATTCTCTTTTAGGTCTGTAGCCATAGTTAAGGTTGAGAGGCTCCCTAGTCAGAGATTTTTTACTCTTCCTCTGATGTGTCACTTTAAAGGCCAAATGTTTAACCATGAGTTTCTAATTGTCCCACAGTGTCCTACTCTCTTCCTAGGAAGAGATTTACTAGCAAAATTGGGGGCAATTCTCAAATTCCGGCTAAGACAAAAATGGATCTTACTTGTTGGGACTACATCAGGTCTTCCTGACCAAAGTGGCCAACAAGTGGATCCTGCTTCATGGTATAATGGAATACCTGTAGGGCAAATTATGCTATGCCAGTAGTTATAAGACCTCAAGACCCCAGCCAATTTCCTAAATGAAAGCAGTATCCAATCAAGGAAGAGTTATGTAAAGGTCTCCAGCCTCCCACAGACAAATTTCTCAAATATGGCTTTCTGAAGCCTTGTTAGTCCCTTTGAGAACCTGTAAAGAGGAGAGGGACATACATACCCTCTCATTTAGACTTTACCTATATGCCACATTAATCTGGGCCAAGTACAAGCTAACCAAATGTATGGAAACAGAGTCCTGCCAGATCCTGGCCCAAGAAGACCACCTACTGTCCATCCTAAAGACCAACTGCTTGTAAAAACAAGGGAGAGGGGACACCTGCTGACCAATTAAAGCCAACATGGAAGGGTGTCTTCAAAAAGCAAGATTCCAGGGCCACTAAAGGAATTGAGGAAATCTGACCTGCTCCTCACATTTGGGCTAATAGTGAAGTTTCTTTCTCCTGTCAAACAGGCAGCTCAATGGTCATTAATCCTTTTTTCGTTTTCTGACAGGTATTCCTTTTGTCAATCTAACCAGTGAGCCACAGCACCCCAAGGTAGCTGGAGAGCCCATAATCTCCTATAGGTAACATCTACAGCCCCTTCCAGCTTGAAGAAGCTATAGATGACTGAGACCTCCATTCCTTCAGCACCCCATAAAGAATTTTGGGGATATGTGTTTCTCAGGAGAAATGAGTCAGGAGATTAGGGAGGGGCAAACCTGGCTGGGGTAGTAGGTTTGACCTTTTAATTACAAGATCCTGGGACATTTGTGCAGAACAGTTCCCAAAGCCCTGCATATGGATTTCTCGTGAGAATTGGAGCAATTTTTTATAAAATGGCCCAGTCCTGACATCAGCCTGAGATGTGGGATCCCAGGACCACCACTCAGGACCTGTATGGAGTGTTCTTACCAGTTTCAAGATTTAGGTGGCTAAAAAGACACAGGCACCAAGAAGAGCTCATTATTGTGCCTTTCCTCACTATGTCCTGCCCTGTGTCCTCCAGGGTATACTTTTATCTTGTTTTTTCCTCTTTTACTTGCCCAAGCTCTCTCTGCAGAGCCAAGATCTTCCTCACTCTTTACTTTTTCAAATAAATTTTGTCACTATTTTACAATAAATAAGTAATATAAAAAGCTTCAATTTCCGATTTTATTAAAATTCCTCATTATCTTAACAATTTACCTTAAAAGGTAAAACCACACCAACTTACTTTCTATCCTACCATTTATTTAACATAGAATTTATCATTGCGAAGATCACAATTTTAGATCCTAAAATTCTTTTAGTCTACCTACTACAACTAACATTTGAATGATGTTCAGAGTATTTTACAACGGCATTTCTTCAGAATTTTACCCAATCAGAATGGTATCTTGGTTCATGAATGCTTTCATTTGCAAACAATTTGGTTTGCAAACAGAAGCATTTGGCAAAATTTTGTTTTTGTTTGCAAACTCTGCATCAGTGACAGACACATGGCCATCTTTTCCACACAAACACAAATGTGGCGATCTTTTCAAAAGTCATAGAAGAAATTAAGTTCATGAACCAAGGCATCACTATATATGACTTTTGATATGAAAATTTGTAGAGAACACTACTTTCCATAGCTTAAAAAGTATATGGTGATGAACTGATTTTATGGATAATGATACAAAGAAAATGGAAAATTAGAGTTGAAAGTACAATTGTGGCTAGCCACAAAGATTCAACTTTTCCTTCACCGAGAATATGGTATAGATATCAATTACATTAAAAACATCATATGTAGGGCCGGGGATTTAGCTCAGTGGCACCGCGCCTGTTTTGCAAGCACAAGGACCTGAGTTCAATCCCTGGTACGAAAAAAACCCATATGTAACAAAGCTGGGGAAAATCATACTGTCAAACTAGGATGGACCACTTATCTCAAAAGCTACTGCTATTCCTTGGTTAAGAGATAATTTCCTGACCTAAATGAAGAAGTTATGCTGCCAGTTTGGAATTTTAACTTGCCTGAGCCTCTACTTACCAGTTTAATTTACACAGATAGAACTAAACCACAAAAGATTTTTATACATAATTTATACCTTGTTGAGAAAACTCTTCAGAACACTTGCAGCTTTTACAGACAGAGAACGTGGTATGCGAATCTGTTTTTCCAAAATAACTAGAAAGATAAAGATTATGGTATTATGTTTAACTTGTACATAACTTTAATCTTTAGATTTTTGTTCATATATTTAAGGCATTCCAGCAGAAAAAATAAGACATTACAGTAAGTCTTCAACTTGCAAATGAGTTCCACTCTAAGAGAATATTCCTAAATTGGATTTGTTTGAAATCTGACAGACTGAGTCTTACAGAGCACACTTGTGAATTTTATACAATACACCTGTGAAAATTTATAACTCAAATGTTCATAAGTCAGGACTTACTGTACATATATAACTAAAACACTTCACATACTTCCTTAATCCCTTACCCCTCTTTCCTTCTGAGAGATAAGCTCTAATCTGAATACTGTACTTCTAATTCATAAGCATGGGGAGCAGGTGCTGGGGATTGAACCCAGGGGCACATTACCCCTAGTGTACATCCTCAATACTTTGTAAAATTTTTAGACAGGATGTCACTAGGTTGTCTCGGTGGGTCTCTAATTTATGATCCTCTTGCCCTCAGCCTCTCAAGAGTGCTAGGATTACAGGTGTGCACCCCCATGCTAGGCTTACATGCATGTTTTATTCTTTGACTACATTACTGTGCTTCAGTTTCCTCATTTGTAAAATAGGAATAAAAATAATACCTACTTCAAAGGGTTCTTATGAGGTTTAAAGGCATTAATATTTGTAAGATGCTTACATATACAATATAATACTCAATTTTACTCGACAATGCCAAGTTATTCTCCAAAGCTACTATGTCAATTTTCACTCTCAACAGCAGTCTATGAGAGTTCCAGGTACTCTAGACCTTCACCGGCACTGTTTATCACACTGTAAAGTTTTACCAAATGTACGGGTATGAAATGAATGTCTTTTCACATACTCCAAGGTCAGTTGGGTTTTCTATAATATGGATATCTACTTTTATCCTGTGATGGCTTTAATTACTGAACGCAGGATTTTATGGCAGTCTTTACATTTCTTTGGATTGTGTGTTAGAGGTGCTTATCTGCTCTTGTTTCTGTTCTGTTCAATTTTTAGTTTTCTCCATTGTGTGGTCACCCTATCCATTTTAACTTAACCTTCACTTTCCACCCAAAATAATTCTTGAACTTACAAGGTTCAGCCTTGGGGATCTTGTATAAAGACTGTCCTCTGTAGCTCTAGGATTCTCCTCTCCAATATCTGTTTATGATACATAATCTAAAGGAACTTCATTTTATAACTGAGTATAGGAAGGTAACACTTAATGGGGCAGGAGACTATAGAGGTATAAAGGATGTATTAGAAAAAAAATCAGGCTAGGAATGTAGCTCAATGGTACAGCACTTGACTAGCATGTGTAAGGCCCTTGGTTCACTCCCCAATATCACATAATTAAAAAAACTCAAAATCTCACACATTAAATTAGGAGTATACTGTTGAGATTATTTTTCTTATTCAAAGAATACTCTGAGTCACCCTCATTTATGGTGTAGAAAAATTAGGACAATCTCTGTAAAAATCCTGTAAGTTACCTTGGAAGAGATAATCCTCTGTGTTTTGATCAGGGTTATCAGAGCTCCCAACAATATCAAATGGAGACCTTCCTGCCATCATCTCAAACATTAGTACTCCAAGGGCCCACCAGTCGACACTAAAACCTTTAGAAAGAAAGTTTAAAGCAGTAAATTATCCATGCAACATGCTTGGAAGTCAGTAATTTGAGAATCATTTTACCACATAATGAAAAACTAAACACAAGAAAGTAAACTCTCAATGTGTTATAACTATCATGGTAGGTATTGAAAATTACAGAAATAATTCACTTGACAAGGATAGGTACCCAAAAGATGTTAGAATATAAAATTATGGGAAATTAAACACAAGTTTCGTTTTCCAAATATACCAATGATTTCAGGCTCATGCCTAGTATCTTAATATTTTCTTTTTAGGACACAATTGCACTGTATTTGAGATTGAGCTCCTTTGGTCTGAAACTTGATCTTTTTCTAGCTGATTAAAGACTCCTGAATGACCGACCTTGAATTTATATTGTGTGTAGCTGTCAGAAGTACTATATCCTAGTTTATAATAGCTGAAATCAAAGGGCTAGAACCCAAAGAAGCAAATGCTTCCCCTCCTTACCTGGGTACCAGGAATCAAACTCAGGACCTTGTGCTTGCCAGACAGGCGCAGCGCCACTGAGCTACATCCCTGGCCCTTCAAATCCTTCCTTAAGATAAACATATTCTCTGGTATCTGACAAGTAGCCAATGTTTCCACTATCTTTCAGATTCCTGGGGGAAATATTATAAGAAATCTGAACAATCTTTCAGAGGTGCAAGACTCTGGAGTTGCCTGGTTGCTAGTCCAAATCCCTACTCTACCACTTTACAGCTGTTATGACCTGGGGCATGTCATTTAAACTTTCTGTCAGTTTCTTCCATTTCTAAGATGGGAATCTGAGAGGTTAATGAGAGGATTAACTTAGTTAATATAATATAAACTACTTAGAATAGTGCCTACCATTCTTCAGTGTCACAAATATACTATTATTCAATATTTGTTTGCCACCTGCTGCACAAGCACAAGGACCGGAGTTCAATCCCCGGTACCCCCACAAAAAAAAAAAAAAAAAAATTTGTACCCTACAGACTACCAAGGTTCTACTGTCTCTGACTTCAGGGCTCTTCAAAACCAGATCTTTAAAAGGATCAAACAAGAAAATTTATATTAATAAGATCAGTATTAAAATACTACAGGAAAATGCAATTGATATCACATTTAACCAAACAGCTAGTAATAGCAAAAATATCACCTATTTATTTATTACCATAATCTTCTCCTCTTAAAATTTCAGGAGCAATGTAATTAGGAGTACCACAGAAAGTGCTGGTCGTATCTCCTGGCCGTAATCCTTCCTTTTATTAAGAAAGAAAGAAAGAAAAAGATCTATAATTCTGTTTTTACATTTACCTTTTCTATTTTATCTATCACATAAATTTTCCAAATGTAGGTAATATGTTAAACTTAAAAAATCACTAGGACAATTGCATTATTATAACACTAATAATAGATTAATAGCTAGATCCTGGAAACAGCATGTATGTCTAATGGATAAGGAAAATGTGGTATTTATACACAATGGAGTACTACACTGCCATAAAGAAAAACTTCAGGCATTTGTAGGTAAATGGATACAACTTGAGAATATAATGTTAAGTAAAATAAGTCACACAAGTTTAAATAGCAAATGATTTCTCTTATATGAGAAACACAAAGAATAAAATAGAAGAGAGATAAATAGGAAACAGGAAGTTCAAATACTTCCCCAAATTACAAATTCCATTGTTTTAAAAATATTTCAATATATGCTAACTGGTTTCATTTATACTATCAGTTTATCTTAGTTTATTAAAAAGAAAAATGTGTTATTATCTATTCCTTTTTTGTAAGAATCCATTTGGCTTATGTCTTACACTGAGTAACTATTTTGAAAACAGTAATACACAGTGTAATAACTATTGTTATTCTCTTATTATTTGATATGAAACATTTTTATTTTTTCATAAAAAAATAACTAAAGGGGGCCAGGAATTTAGCTCAGTGGTTCTGGCACCTGCCTCGCAAGCATAAGGTCCCGAGTTCGATCCCCGGTACCAAAAAAAAAAAGAAAAAAAAATTACCTTACACATGCCATAGTCAGTGAGTTTAATATGCCCTTCTGAGTCCAGTAATACATTGTCCAATTTCAAATCTCTATAAATTATCCCTCGCTCATGAAGATAATTTAATGCTAAACTGATTTCTGCAGAGTAAAACCTAAAATAAAATTTAAAATAAATCATGTTAAAAAAAGTCATGTGATTCAAAATTATAAATTGTGCTAATTTTCTAGTACATATTTCAGACTAATTCCTACCTGCATTTGGAAACATAAAAATCACAACAGAAGATTTTTTTTACCTTCCAATATACTTAAAAACAAAAAATTTTATTGGAGTACCACTTTAAAATATCTGAGCCCAAAACAGTTATACAAGTTCCAGTTTAACTTGAACTAATATTTTTCACAAAGCTATTAATCTGAAAATGTCAAGCAGGAGATCTTAGTCTGGGTCCTCGAAAGATTTTTGGCAGTCCATACACGCAAACTGGAGGCAAACTTTACATTTTCTAGAGAGTTCCCGTATGTTTCACCACTTCTCTATGGGACCATTAATGTACCCCCCCCGAAAAAAAACCTAAGAACTAGTGACAGGTCTAGAATATTAAAAGTTGACTACTCAAACCATAAAATTCACACCAAAATTTCAGAAGTTATTCTACAACCATAAAATTTTAAATTAAAGAATAAACTTTCTAAAACTACCACCAACTGGTGAAAAACTTTTGGCCTGAATAATGAAAATGAAAACATCAAGCTGGTTTACATCTGCTTTGGTGGCACAGAATCATGACAAGTTTGGAAGTACACAACATATACCTCTGGCCACTTAGTTCTATGATTAGGGAAGTTAAGTACTTCTTTTGTCTTCAGAGCCTAGCAAAGCAAGCATGGTATACAACCAGAACTGGTACTTTAACAGAGTAAAAACCAGATGTAGTTTCCCCAAGTTCAGCTGAACAAAGAAGGAACAAATACTGGCTATGTTCACAATTTAAAATATCATCTGTGGCTTTGCTGTGAAGGATGACAATTTGATAAAAGCCAAAATAGCAATGACCAAAACCAGTAAATTATAATATATCTCTAAAATTATAATTTATCATGCAAATTAACTTTTAGCTCAGCTCCTAATATCTTACAAAGAATTAACTAGCATCAAAATAAAGTGATTATATACTATTTTTCAACTGCTGCACATAAAAAGTCATGCAGTCCTTTAAAAAATGCAACAGAGGGCTGGGGATTTAGCTCAGTGGTTCCAGCGACTGCCTTGCAAGCGCAAGGTCCTGAGTTTGATCCCCAGTACCAAGGAAAAAAAAAAAAAGTAAGAGAGGGGAGGAAGCTGGAATCCACAAGCATGCTCGTGCCACAGGGGATATGGAAAACAGGAATAAGAGAGATTGGCCATTCATGACAATTCAGAGAAATGCTAGCTCAGATCAGAAAAGCAGTGGAGACTTCAAAAATATCTAAAGAACAAATGCTAATCAAACAACACAAACAAGTGTGGTGGCTGGAACACCAACGGCTAAGTGAACTCAAATGTAAATTGGATTCTGAAATAAAATATTTTCTCAATGAAGAGCACATTGGAAACAAGTGTCTTTGTGAACTTAGGAATTTTGAACAAGAGTTATCAGAACAATGGAGTACGTATCTTAAAGATGTGACAGATCCTATTCATCAGCTAAGAGCAGATCTAAAGTACCGATAGCATCACACCTTACAGCATTCACGCCAGCATATGGAGTTTAACTCAGGCCCAGTACTGGAAGAAGTTGACTTTGTGAAAAAACAACTGAAAGCTGCCTTTGCAAGCCTTGGGTGGGAGCAACAGAAAATAGAAAATGATCTTTCAGACTGGAGTGTGAAAAATAATCAATTATTATTTAGAAGAAAAAAACTAACCTAGTGAACTACCCACAGAATTAGAAACTTTGGAATGCCCGTACCCTGAATTGAAATCATCAATCCTTAATGAGTTCTGTAACTTTACAGAGAAATATCAAAAAAAACCTTCATGATTTTGATCTGCAGTTAGAAAACAATATAGAAATTTCCAATTAAGTGAAGAAGATCACTGGATTTACCAGGCTGCTTTAGATCAATATCCTAGAGATCTTGTTGGCAGAAGAACTTTTTATCTGGACATATTACAAAGATATTTTCCTCACAAATCTAGGCATGATTTGGTACGGCATGAGAAATATTGTGATCAATATCACTTTGCTAGGGAGCAGCGAAGGATCTTGATAGAAAATTGGAATAAGAATAGGAAAGACTTTATACAGAAAGCAGCAGTGACTCTCCTTGAGGCCTCGGTCACTTATGAAATGGAAAGCATATTGGCAAAGGACAGGAAAAAGCAACAGGAATTGTGTGCTGATCTGAGAACCAAGATAAGAAAATACTTGGCTAAGAAAGAGCAGAAATGGCAAGAAATGGAAATGAGAGATCTTCAGCGCCTAGAAGAACTGAAGAAATTAATGGCTGGTCAGTAAAAGACTGAGAAAGGATTCAATATAGACAAGCATTACTGGAAAAGCGTTTGATGGAGCAAAAAGAAGTGGCCCTTCAAGAAGCACCTGAGGAGGAAGAGAAAGAGGCGACTTGAAGTGCTTAGGAAACAGGTTGCTGTTGTTGCTCAATTTGATCCTGTTAGAATGATGTCAGATACAATAGCATCAAAAGCTAAGATGGGTATTGATAGGAACGAAGAGTTTATTCTTCAAAAGCCACTCTTCACACTGCATACATACAATGAACAGCAGGTACTCCAGGACCCATGGGATGCCTTCTTGGACCAAATCCTGCAGTTCCTGTGATACATACCTTCACCACCTGCATGGAGTTCTGCCAGTCATCTGTCACATCCTAACCCTGCTTGGATCTATATATGCCACATGTCTTGGTTTCTCTTCGCTCCAGTTATTGGAACTCAAACCCTTTCTGTCTTCTATTAGTTTGATGTGTAACATACTCTTCATATTCATCTCTACCCCCACATGTAAATCATGGCAGCTGTCACTAAATATCAGCCCCAAATCACAGCTGGTGCTGTTCCTTTCCAAGATTTGCTCCAAGCATAGAAAAGGGGGTGTTCTTAATTACACACAACAACACTGTGAGAAACACACTCTTGTTAGCTGTATTTTATAACAGAGGAACCCACGCCTTAGGAAGGTGACTTATCTTGCCACGATTACAAAGCTAATAAAAGCCTGAATTTAAGGCAAGACAACCAAACTTCTGAGCCCCTAACTGGAGTGCCTGTTGGTCTCAGGGTTTTCCAGACTGGCCATCCTTCTATTGTCAGAAATATCTAGAACTATATTGAATATCTATAGAAAATGATGAGATTAAAAAAAATGATGAGATACAACCACCAGTCAAGTAGTATAGCAACTCTCTGGGATTTTACCAGGAAACAGAATTGTACATTTCATAATGTTTTGTTTTGTTTTGTTTTTCCGGTACTAGGGATCAAACTCAGGACCTTGTGCTTGCAAGGCAGGCATGCATAATGTTGTGTTTCAAGAAGTGCTAGGAATGTCTCTTGGCCTCCCAAGATATTTCCTACTACCCAAAGTAGATGTTAAATTGCCTTCAATAGTGAAACATTTATGAATCTTCCAGGAGCACTGTAACCTTTAAACCATTGTTACCCAGGTCTAGTCTACAGAAGCTTCTATCCCACTATGTGGTACTTAACTAAATATTTTTCTAGTTAATGACTATGAAATAAAGCCTCATTTCCTTTTTATATATACATTGTTTGCATAAGTGCCATCCTATATTTGCTGCTACAATTGTTGTGACTGCCTGCACAAATGAGTCCAGGTTGAAGCTTGTCATCTGAGACCAGCATGTGGCTCCAAACACAGCCCCATAGCTCTGCAGATCTTGCATGGCTTTTCATCCTTGGCTTCACTTAGGCAGTTGCTAATCTCTCTCCAAGATTTGTTCCAAGCATGGACAAGAGGACTTTGCTTATTTCCACTCAATAAGAGCTATGACAAGTCTGTATCTATTCACAAGATTATGAAAGCTTAGAGAACACAGAACATGAAAGAGGAATTATGACAGGGAGGGAAGGGAATGTTCTATCCCCTTCTGACAAGGGTTGAACTTGTGCCCACCAAATACCTAGTAGAAGCTAGTAATGAGAAATAGTTCTTTACTTAACAACAACGTATTATGCGGTTGAAAATTTCTAAGAGTAGATTTTAAATGTTCTCACCACAAAAAGATATGTATGTGAAGTAATGGATCTATTAATCACTTTGATTTAGTTCTTCCACAATATATGCTTATATGAAAACATCATGTTGTGCACCATAAATATGTACCATTTTTGTCTGCAAAAAAAAAAAAAAAGCAACAGAAACAATGTCTAAAAAAGGTACCTGGCATGTTCTTCAGGAAGTTTTCTTTGTCGTTGCATATGAAACATTAAATCTCCTCCATTCACATACTCAATAACAAAGAACAACCTAAAACACAAGAGAGAACCCATAAAAAATTCTAAATAAGGTAGTATATCCTGCCTCGCAAGCACAAGGTCCCGAGTTTGATCCCTGGTACCAAATAATAATAATAATAAATAAATAAATAAAGCAGTGTAACTTTACATCTTAAAACACTACAGAACATACAAAGCATCTCTATGGCTTTGATAAGATGCTGAAAATTTGATGGAAACAAAGGATATCTAGAGTACTGAAAGAAAAAAAAAATACTTCTGTAACCTGCTATTTCTATTCTAAAGTAGTTCTTACTTACAACCCAGAGCCACTGACTCCCATCCCAATATTTAACATTTGCTAGATAAGTAATTTTCAACACTATAATATTTACAGTAAAGAAGTTGGGATTTCCTCTTTCTAGTTAAACTCTAGAGAACATTAATTCATAAAACTGGAATCTTGGGAGGCCTGGGATTTAGCTCAGTGCTTCCGGCGCCTGCCTCGCAAGCACAAGGTCCCGAGTTCAATCCTCAGTACCAAAAAACAAACAAACAAAAAAACAAAACAAAACTAGAATCCTGGGAATATTTAACAAGCAGTATTTCTACTGCCATAATTATGGTCTCACTCTTCTCCTTTTTTCCTTCTTCTTTTTCTTTCTTTCCTTTATTCTTTCTTTGCTTCTCTTCCCCTCCCTCCCTTTTTCTCCCTAAAACAGATCAATTCCTGATACTATGCCAATGTCAAACTGTAGTTGAATAGCAGGAAGTTAAAGCACAATACCATTGTGTCCTTTTCTCTGACTTCTACTTCATCTATTGCAGCAGACAGGTTCTTATTGTGTAACACATCAAAATGTATGATGCTGATTAATCATCCCACTATCTTTCAATCTTACCTGCTTTCTGTCTGAAAGCAAGAATGCAGTCCAACAAGAAAAGGATGATTAGATGCCTGCTCAAAAACATGCTTCTCTGTCTGTACCCAATCAATATCCTATTTTAAAATATGAAAGAAATCTATGTCAAACAGAAACAAAATCATCAAAACTAACAATACATTTGTTTTAAGCAACTCAATGATCACAAATGCATCAACTAACTAGGCTAAATACAAAGACCAGTGACAATCATAAAACAAAAATTTATATCCTACAAGAAAAATATCAGTAAATCTTCCAGTATTATGAAATGGTTTGGAAAACTTTTATAAAACTCAAGAACTTTCCCTGATAAGTTTGATTTTTATTCTTTAAAACTTGAATCATAACCAGAATAAGTATCTCTTACGTAATCTATTTGAAGCATTTATTTAGAAAAGTGTTCTCTGAAATAGTACTCTTAAGCAGTTTAACAATTTAGAAGTTCAAAAATTTTGGTCTGCTTACCTCATCATCATTAACAAGCTCTTTTTTCACAACTTTCATTGCATAAATACGATCTGTTTTTTTTAATCGAACCAACAGGACTTTCGCATAACTTCCTCGCCCTATTACTCGGAGCAAATCAAAGTCTTGAAGACCTAAACTGGATGAAGCTTTTCCACTTTCCCTGGTGTTCATTGCCTGTTGAGAACATTTACGGCAGAGTCTTATCGGGAAGTATTTGGAGTAGTACCTTATATTTCTAAAACCTTGTTTGACATAATGATTTAAAAATATTTTCTTAATATAAAAATGTTTTAGTTCAGGCATGGTGGGGCATGCCTGTTAATCCTAGCATTCAGGAGGCTGAGGCAAAGGATTGTGAGTATGAGGCCAGCTGATGCTACACAGAGTTCAAGACCAGCCTGAGCTAGAAGTTTGTAATTCTTATATCATTCCAAGCCACATAATGTGCAAAAAGTAGGATGAGTTTATGAGTTAAAAGAAGTGTTAAAAAAAACAAAAACAAAAATGAAAAAGAAAGAAGTGTTAGTAGGAATAGACAGGGAGCTAAAAATCTAAAAAAAAATGTTAAAGAATGTCTTAAGAAAGATCTGGTATATTTGCGTATGGAGGCAATGGACATGCATGAATAAAACATATTAACTTTTGTGACTGAGAGACTGAAGGTATTGCTGAGGGGAAAAATAAAGTATGTGGATAAGACAATGTTGTTGGAGATAACAGAAAATTAGCAGTTAAAATGGATATCAAGAAGAAAGAGTCTGCTACCATAGAAGACTGATATAAGAGATTTCAGCTAATGAGAGGACATTTTTTGATGCTATAGTTAGGAAACAAGCATGAGGCAGTTCAGCTAATGGAAGAAGTTCTTTTCCATACTTTGGTACTAGATGACATGGGTGGCAAAGTAAGCCTTATAAATGCACTGACAACTAGGAATGTAAACTTCTGCTAATTTATAGGGAAGACTGAAGACAATCTTATTAGGTATCTGTAAAATCATCAGCACATGATCAACAAATGTATCCGTAAGAATAAAGTTCCTACTAAAGTAAAGGCTATCAGAAAAAACAAAGACCAATCAAGCATAATGGTGTGTTCTTGTAGTACTGGTTAATTGGGAGGCTGAAGCAGGAGAATTACCAGAGTCTAGGAGTTTAAGGCCAGCCTGGGTAACACAGCAAGACCCTATCTCAACAATGAAAAGAAAAGAAAAAAGAGAAGAGAGAAAAGGGGAGGAGAGAAGAAGATAAGGGAAGGGGGAAGAGGGAAAGGAGAGAGGGAGGAAAGAAGGAAACAAAGAGGACTTTCCAAAGAATGCTCATACATGAAAATTAGAAATAATATTCATTTGATTTGATAATAAGAACAAAGAAGAAATAAACCAGATTAGGGTAGGTTAAGAAAGAGGAGAATGGTAGGAATATAATGTATACTCTTTAAATATGGTTAAGTAGAAGTTATGGAAATGAATAAATGAAAAAGAAGCACTTTTCAAAAGAATTATACATGAAAATTTAGAAATAATCATCATTTGATTTGATAATAAGAATAAACAAAAAATAAATCAGATTAAACCAGATTAGGGTACATTAAGAAAGAGGAGAATGGTAAGAAAATAATGTATACACTTTATAAAATATGGTTAACTAGAAGCTATGAAAATGAATAAATAAAAAGAGTGCTGTATCTTCTAGATACAATAATGAAAGACTAAATGAAAACATAATCCCTCTAACCTTCAAAGAGCCTAAAGAAAATAAACTGACCTAGCATTCTATATCCTATGAAATTAATTCTCAAAATGAAAGTGAAATATTTTCAGACACACAAAAACTGAAAAAAACATCATTAGTGGATTCTCACTAAAGGAAATACTAAATTGAGTACTTGAAGAACAATATAATGTCACATGGAAGGATAGAGAACCAAGGAATGAATGAAGAATAAAAAGAGTAAAGTGTGAGTAAATATAAATAAGGCTCAATTGTTTAAAAATGCTAACATACACACAGCATTTTAAAATATGACAAAAATAGCACCAAAGGCAGGAATGAGTTTAATGTGTGCTAAGGGCGCAGTATTTTCTAGAAAATGATAGCAGTACCATTAACAATTTGTACTAAATTTTAGTAAGTCAAGAATGCAAAGTGTAATCTGTAGACAACCAGTAAAAAAATGGTAAACAAATTAAAAAAACAATTTTTAAAATTATGGTAAATATCCACCACACATTCAACAGATTGGCTAAAATTAAAGGCTTATGTGGAGGACATAGAGCTCTCATCAATTATTGGTGAAAGTATAAATTGATACAAACAGAAAACTTGCATTATCTACTAAAGTTGATTTTACATAAAACTCTGCAATTATTAGTTATATACTTAGTTACTTTCTTTGTTGCTGGGACAAAATATCCAACACCCACAATTTAAGGAAAGAGAGGTTTATTTTGGCTCACAGTCTCTAGAGGTTCCAGTCTGGCTCTAAGGCAGGACACATGGCAGAAGGGCATGGCTGAAGAGAAACAGCTCTTGGAATAGCAGGTAGGAAGCACAGTGAGAGGGAGCGAGGGAGATATACCTTTCCAGGCCACGCCCCAGTGAGTCACCTCCTCCAATCAGGCTTCACCTCCCAAAATCAGATTTAGCTATAAAGTCATCAGTGGACTAAACCACTGGTAAGTATCATGCTTTCATGATCCAATCACCTTCCAAAAACCCCATCTATGAGCACATGAGGCTTTGGGGGAGACAGCTAGATACAACCATAACATTCCACCCCTTAAGGCCGGGTGTGGTGGTGCGCCCTGGTAATCCCAGCACTTGGGAGGCGGAGGAAGGAGGATCACCATAAGTTTGAGGCCAGTCTGGGCCACAGTGTGAGTTCAAGGCCAGTATAACTACACAGCGAGACCCTGTCTCAAAACAAAAGAAAAACTGCACCCCCAGCCCCCAAAAGCCTCATGTGCTTCTCTACGGAAAATGCATTTAGTCCATCTCTAAGAGTTGCCAAAATCCTAACAATTTCAGCACTGCTGAAAAGTCCAACTCCAAAGTCTCCTCTGAGATTTAAGGCAAACTCTTAGCTGCAAGCCTCTATAAAAATGAAAAGAAAGTTAAATACTTGAACATACAGTGACACAGGTAAACATTCCCATACCATAAGGTGGAAAAAGGGGGCTGGAAAGGAATGGAATCAGCAGATATGGCACATGCCTATAAAACCCTCAGCATTCAGGAGACTGAGATAGGAGGATTACTCAGAATTTGAGGCCAGCCAGGCCTACCTACTGAGTTCAAGTAGGCCAGCCTGAACTACAAAGTGAGACCTGTTTTTAAAAAGGAAAAAAAAACAAACAAAAAACCAAAACCCCAAAACAACAAGAAAAAAAATGAAAGAAAGAAATGGATCCAGACCAAGACCAAAATCCAGCAGGGCAAAGATTAAACCTTGTTGTTTCATGGCCAGCACCTGGGGCAATCTGTGGCAAGATAGCAACTGCACAGGGCTTGAGCTGCCTGCTCCTCCAGCATTGCTGATGGCGGTTGTAGCCCTCACAGGTTCATTTTTGGGTTGGTTTGCTCACTCCTTGCAGCTTTTCTCAGATGGTCAATGTTCCTAGCTTTTCCAACATCTTGGTGTCTCTACTGCACTTTCTGCTTCACTCTCAAAGCTTTACATACTGCCCTCTCAAGGGCATACTTCCTGGCCTCCTAGGCCTTCTTTTGAAATCTGGGTGGATGTCTCCCTGACATGCATTCTGCATGCTCATAAAACAGGCACTAGGTGATGCCAAGGTCTGCTGCCAGCTGGAGCAGTAGTCAGGCTTCCTTCTCTTCTAGCTGTTGGGGTCTCTAAATGTTTGGATGGCTATGTACTATGACTCTAACCCAAAGGAACAAATTCCCTAGGTAGCTATGGTGCCCTGAGGCTCTCTTCTCAAAATAAAGTCACCTTTGCAATTTTGGGCATGCAAAGGTTAGAGCTTTGTGGGTTTCTCTAACTCCCTCAAGGCATTTTTCCTATTGTCCCATTGCAAAGTAGCACTTGGTTTCTTTTTAGCAACCAAGTTTTCTGCTCCATCTTTGCAGGGCCTAACTTTATAGGTGCTTCCTTTCTGGCCGAACTTCAAACTTTTTTTTTTGAGGTACGGGAGATCGAACTCAGGACCTTGTGCTTGCAAGGCAGGTAACAGTGCCACTGAGCTAAATCCCTGGCCCTCAAAATTTTTAAATTATTCTGCTAGTCTATTTGTTCTTGATTCACAGTAGAGAGCTGGCTAAAAGTCACAGCCTGAGTGTTTGGCTGCCTTGAAATTTCCTCCGCAGGATTAATTAATCCACCACCCTTAATTTCAGTCTCCCACAAAGTCTCAGGACATGAGCAAAATGCAAACAAATATTCTGGCAGAGCATAACATACATGACTGAGAGTCCAACTGCCAGGGGAGTTGTTCTTTCCAACTGAAACCTTTTGAGCTCGGTCTTCACCAGTAGCATTACTGCCAACATTCTGGTCTTCTGAGTCCAACCAGAATCTTGCAACAAACTTGGCTTATAGCATTCTAGGGCTGCTTCTCCAATTGGCATCTCCAAATCTTTCCAAACTCCTCCTGCAAGCGAGTTCCAAAGGCTTCTAAACTAACTCGTCAGGTAGCATTACAGCAACAACCCCACTTCTCTGGTACCAAAATTTGTCTTACTTGTTTAGTTGCTGGGACAAAATACCCGGCACCCGCAAATTAAGGAGAGAGAGGTTTATTTTGGCTAACAGTCTGTAGAGATATCAGTCTACAATTGGCTGGCTTCAAAGCAGGATGACATGGCAGAGGGGTATGGCAGAGGAGAAACAGCTCATGGCATGGCAGGCAGGAGCAGAGAGTAATCAATGGAGGAGGGAGATAGACTCTTACAGGCCACACTCTCAGTGAACCACCTCCTCCAACCAGGCTTCACCTACCAAATCACATTTAGCTATAAAGTCATCAGTGGACTAATCCACTGATGAGTATCATGTGTCCATGATCCAGTCATCTCCCCAAAGCCCCACCTATAACCGCATGAGGCTTTGAGGGGATATCTAGATATAAACCAAAACATATACCTAATAGAAATGCTTATGTATGTGTACCAAACCACATTTAGAAGAACACTCATAGCAGTATATCATAATATTCCCAATCTGGAAGGGGGAATCAACAGTAGTATAACATAAAATGAAATGGTGAAAATAAATGAAATACTGCTGTTTGAAATACGGCTGGGTTTCACAAACACAACTGTATAAAAGTAGCCAGACACAAAAGAATACATATTTTGAGTCTATTTGTATGAAGTTTGAACAAGAACAAAAAAAAAGCAAAATACATTTGTAGTGTTAAGATAGTGGTTACTGGGCCAGGGATTTAGCTCAGTATTTCCGCCTCCTGCCTTGCAAGCGGAAGGTCCCCAGTTCGATCCCCAATACAAAAAAAAAGATAAGATAGTGGTTACTTTTAAAAGAGAAAGGAGTGCTAGTGACTGGTAGAAGACACAAGACAAGCTTCTGGGAAACTGCACATCATATTTCTTGATCCGAGTTGTCATTACATGGTGCTCACTTTGAGAGAATTCATTTAGCTAAATACTCATGACACGTACATTCTTTTACATGTATTTCTACAATTTAAAGAATACTAAAAATCTTAAAACGCAGATGAGTCTTTGGTAATCAATCAAACCAAAATAATAATATCAATGAAGATTTTCAAAAAGAATTTTAAAAACTGTAAAAGAATATCAAGGTTGCTGGGGATTTAGCTCAGTGGTTCCGCCACCTGCCTCGCAAGCACAAGGACCAGAGTTTGAACCCCGGTACCAAAAAAAAAAAAAAAAAAGAATATCAAGGTCAAATAGCAATTTCATGTGCCAGAAGAATATAGGATTCATTCCTTATTATTAGGAACTTCCTCCTTTGACTCTTTAATCTATGAACAAAATATGGAAGATTTGGTTAGTTACAAGACAGAGAGTAAATGTTAACCTTAACAATGTAGAAATAAACATGACTAAAAGAAAAATTGAAAGAGTAGGATTAGCTATAACAAATCAAGATATTAACTAAAACAGAACAAGAAACTAAAATATGAGATTAAATAGGTGACCAGTAGATTTGTTTTGTTTTTGTTTTTTGAGACGAGGTCTTGCTCTGTAGTTCAAGCTGGCCTTGAACTCACTATGTAGCCCAGGCTGGCCTTGAACTTGTGGCAATCCTCCTGCCTCAGGCTCCCAAGTGCTGAGATTACAGCTGTGCACCACCAACGCCTGGCATGACCAGTAGATTGGCTTATAAATAATTCAAGAGTAAAGGAAGTGGGTAGACAACAGACTGATCATGTACTGGTAATTCTTTTAAGTGAGTAATGAATAAAGAATTTTGTTGTACTATTCTGACTATTTTTTCTATGTTTAAAATTTTCCATAATAAAAATCAGGTTTTTCAAAAAGTAATCAAGAGGGCTGGGGATTTAGCTCAGTGGTTCTGCTGCCTGCCTCACAAATGCAACGTCCCGAGTTCAATCCCCGGTACCAAAAAACAAAACAAAAAGTAATCAAGAGCAAAATATGAGGTGTGATAAAAAAATACAGCGAACGCTCAAAGTTTTTCTGAAAATTTATTACAGTAAAAGGCACACTGCCATTAATCCCCCTCAAAATACTACTTGCTTCAAAAACACACTTATTCCATTATTCCTGCCACTTTCTGAAGTAGTTCTGGAAGTCCTCTTTCATGAGTGCCTTTAGTTGCACTGTCATGGCTGCCTCAATGTCCTGGATCATCTAAAACTTTACTTTTCCTGGTCATTTATACCTTGAGAAAGGGCCAGAAGTTGCACAATGCCAGATCTGGTGAATGAGAACACACCATTATATTTTTACAAGCCTGTCTTTCCACTGGATGGTACTCGGCAGTAGCATTCACTGTATTTTTAAAATCGTATCTCATAAAGACATTCACAAAAAAGGATGTTTCAGCAAATGTGATCAAAGTGAGCGGGAGTATTTTGAGGATGCAATGCATCTTTTACCATAATAAACTTGAAAAAAAAAGTAAGCATGCACTATATATTTTTATCACCATCTGTACACCTATCACATACTGGAAAGAGGCAGAAAAAGGGCAAAGGAGTATAAGTGAATCTTTCATGGCCAGAAATACATAAACTTGAAAAACTGAAAAACAGAGATATAAGTATTATTGAAATGACTGAAAAGGCTGAAAAAGGTTGCCTCTAAGAAAGCAAACTGAAAGTAGAAGTAAGGCATGAACTCTCATCATTTTTTTCTTTCCTTTGTGACTTCTGAGATACAATCTCACTAAGTTGCCCAAGCAGGCCTCAAACTCTTGATCCTCCTGGCTCAACCTCCCGAGTAGCTAGGATGATAGGTATGTCTCACCATGCCCAAGCAGATATTTTTAATTACAAATTTGTTTTGCTTTAAAGACTAATAAAATGCTTAATAGAAAAAAAAGTGAGTTAAAGACATTTTATCATTTATACTTTAAATAAGCAATGAGCCTACAACATGGAAGGGTCCACAATATATTTTAAACATTACTATTTGAATAACATTCGAAATGTTATTCTTTTTTTTTTCTCTGGTACCAGGGATCAAACTAAGCACTTTGCACTTGTGAGGCAGGCACAGTGCCACTGAGGTAAATCCCTGGCCCTTCTAAATGTTATTCTTAATATATTATATTATGCTTTCTTAAATAAGTTTTATATTATCCTATCTTAAATATTTTCCTACAAAATCATTTCCTAATTTAAATTAAATTAGTGATTTAATTACTTAATTAAATCAGAATGAAACTTAGAGCATTAAAAATCACTCCTTTATTACCATTATGATCTAAAAATCTAAGCAAGACGTTTTTCCAAATTGTTACATCCTAGTGAAAAACTGATGACGGGATGAGTATGTAACTCAGTGACATTGCACATGTTCAAACCCCAGCACTCTGAAAAAAAAACAACAAAAAAACAAGCCAACCAAATGAACAAAAAAAATACCTAACAACATACTATAAAGTAAAATACTTACCTCCTTTTCTTCACCAACTTGGTCCAAACTCTCATGACTTGAAGGATTATAAGGAATTACTAAAAATCCAATGCCAAGTATCAAAGAAGAAAAACATAGCATCTATTAATGAATCTGACATTAAAACTTTTGATTTTTTTTAGCTTTTACTTCTGAGTAAGTTTTCACTATATAAAGCCCAACATATATATAAGCATATACATATATAAAAACATATATTCACATTTACATATACATATATATATATATATATATATATATATATATATATATATATATAAAATCTTAAAAGTCAAATCCTAAATTTTAGTGACGGTAAAGAGAGAAAGTACAAACCTGGTAGCCACATACTGCTTTTAATAAATTTTTTTTCTATTTTTTAAACATTTAACTTCTTTATAATTAATCAAATACTTCCTTCCATAACATTTTCTTTATATACCCTACTTAAGGCATAGAGATAGAAGGCCTACGGTTTTCCCTTCTCACTCTTTTGTACTCAAACTTGTTTCTGAATACCACATAGGTCAATTAAGAAATGACAAGTATGGGCTGAGGATTTGGCTCAGTGTTGTTACACCTGTCTTGCAAGTGCAAGGTCCTAAGTTCAATTCCCAGTACGGGGGGGG